AAATAAAATTAGATTCTGCTCTAATGAAAAGGAAGTTAAATTATTTATATTTTAAATGGCAGGAATGGTCTGCTCTCCTCTCCATAGTCAGAGTAAACTATGCCCCTTAGGCTCCATAACTGATCGACTTTAGAACCATCTGTATAAAAGGTTGAAACTCAAATTTACGGTGATAGGAGAGGAACACAAGTTGCATGAATTAAAGCTCCTCTTTAACCTTAGTTCTACAGGTAAGTCTAAAGGATTTTTTCCTATTCCCTTTCAGACAACTGAGAGGACACCTATCAATTGCAAACTGCACCAAGGGAAGGTTTTGAGAGAGAGAACTTTTGGGGGGAAAAGAAAAATAACCACCCTATAGTATGACTATCCAGAGGTTGTTGCCTCTCAAATTAATTTGGTTTTGAAAAATAACAAGTTTTTCAACCTTTCATGTTGTGTTAGATAGACTGTTCCCTGCATGTTCCTATTTAATAATTTTTCAACAGCTTGAAAGCAATCTACACACATGCTGAAACTTGGTATATAACACACCTAAGTTACTGCACTGCAAGTCAACTTCATGATGGCAGGCCAGACAATGTATATTAAAAGGCATCAGGTATGATTCTCTTAACAAAAATGTTACATGAATGCAGATCATCTGACTTAAGTGTAGATGGGGAATGCTCCACTGAAGTCAGAAGATAATTAAACTGTTTACATTTGCAGAGACATTTTAAAATTCCAGCAGTGAGAGGCTAAACCAGTTACCCCATACTTGCTGCACTTTACTAGAGAGCAACACCAGGCACAGAGATGGGAAAGACAGGTTTCACTAACAATAATTATCCTGCAATAATTTTCATTTAAATGGCTCTAACTGTATTACCAAGTTTGGTCACAAAGCAGCAATTTAAAAGCATTTTGAAACCCTTTTTTTATTTTATCCTAGGTGTGCTTTTTTAATTAACAGGATTCAATCAGAGAATCTTCTGTGCACACTACCGCAAAGGATCATTATTTTTTAAGAAAGCCCCCAGGGCACTTCTGAAACAAATGGACTTGTATAAACTCTAAGTGCAATACATCCCAACCCATTAAAAATCAAAATGGTGTCTAAGCACCGCTTGCTTTCTACTGCCTACTAAGTCTATTCCTATGCTTACTCTTCTTGCCCCCCACTTCCTCTTTGAGAATTAATTTGTTTCTATGTCAGTTAATTTGTGCCTATGAACACATCAGGAAGATAAAAACCAGGTGGTGGGGGAAGGAGCTAAATAGAAAAACATCATATAAGGACAAAGTGTACATAAACTAGTTCCAATATTCAACCCAAATTTATTCATGGCTACCAGAGCAGTGAGGTTCTGGAATATGTTCCTATAAGAATGATTGGGACTTCACAGTTACACTAGTGTTAAGCTGAAGCTTGGGGAGTTTTTGAAGACTTCTCTGATGTGACACCATGCAACAGCAGAGGATGTGAATGAACCAAGAGATTTTTCCTGTCTTATGCCAAATTTTATGCTGTTCTTGCCCTCTCCTTCAGAAAAAAGGACAATAAAAATCAAGCCGCAATCATTACACACTTGACATATACACTTGACTTCCCCTTCCCCATCTTATACAGTAAGAAACCCTCGCTATTAGGCATCTTTTCTAAACCCTACATTTTTTTTTTAAACCCTGTTAATTAAACAAAGTGGTAGTGGTTATAATCACATGACTTTTACAAGCATACTCTATCTTCATAAGCAATAGCCAGCTTAAAAAAAAAAAAAAATATTTTGCCATCACCACAAGAGCTTGTTCTGAGAAACATGATGTAGAGAAAGATTTGAGAAATGTTATTTACTACTGAAAACCCAATATAGAAAACAGATGATGCCCTATAAACCAGAATTAGCTTCTGCTGTGGCCAACTGCAATACAACTCTGAGCTTTTCTCCCTTTACTTCATGGGAGAACTGCCAAGAGCAGAAGAATTCCATTCATAACACACTTTAAAAACTGAAAGGGAAAAAAAAACCAACTTCGAAGCCACAGAGCATCAGCAGGCCTCCCCATGCCATGTAGATGTGCTAGTCTGCTCTGTACAGAGGTGAATTAAAAACACGGGGCGGGGGGAAGACTCACATTACGCCCACACATTCTTGGCTTCTGGCCCCCAGAAGGCAGTCTTTTTCTCCCTCCCACTCCCGCCTCCACTGGTTCGAAAATGACTTTGCACAAGACACGTGCCAACTTTCAAGCAAGATGTATTTCCTTAACTGAAGCCTAAGCTATACCATCCATCTTTGTCAAGAGTAATGTTTGTATTTTCAAGAAACTACAGGAGCCATAGTTTATGCCCCAGCACTAATACAAACCCAGACATTCACAATTAAATGTTTTCTGCCTTTCTTTTTGAGTAGTCAATTCACATGCTGGCATGCTCAGTGTTTTGGGAAACAAAAACAAACACCTTTGCCAACATGATTAGTATACTAGTTAATTTGTTACAATAGAAACTCTGTCCAAAACAGGAAAAATGCAATCCGATTGCTCAGCCAGCTGCATGAGCTTATCCTTTATCTTGGCAAAGTGGTCAGGTCCTCATCTGATGCTTTTCAAACAGCATCTTACATTGTCAAGTGCCCATCATGCTTGCAACATCAACCTTCCTGTCCCCTCAGACTCTGCAGATGCCTGTTCTCATTTAACCACTGTGTTTCAGTAACATTACTGAGGCACGTAAAGGGGTGGCATCAGCATAAGACATCTTTAGGAAGACATTAATTTTACCAGCAAAATATTTTTCCTGGTTTGTTCACCCTGTTTAGTTGCATGATTTCCCCTTTACAGTCAGGCTCTTTTCTACATAGTTATCACATGAAGTAAAAGGAGAGGGAAAAGCCCCTTTTAAAAGAATGCAATTGTAAAGCCCACCCCCCCGCGCCAAAAAAAACCCAAACCAAAAAACAAAACAAAACAAAACCAACCCAGGAGGGTCTCAAATGTGTCACTGCCAAAGTCTCATCTAACTCAAAATTTTGATTTTGATGCAACTGGATTTTAAGTCGACAGTGCCCCACAATACAGCAGATTGGTCACTCAAAAAAAAAAAAAAAAAAAAGTGTTGGGGTGTAGGGGAGGAGGGAGGGAGGAAGAAAGACTACCTTCAACTGACATTTTCTTCCAGAGTGCTTCTTTTTTTTTTAGGGAGAAACATCTTGATTAACATGCAAGGTAAATCCTATAAACTACCTGGTTCCTTCTTGGCTGCCTGCATGCAAGTCTGCTCCTTTCTCAAAAAGGGATAAAGACGAGGTACAGTAAGAAGAGATAAATACTGTTCACGGTTTCTTCCATGGTAGTAATTCAGCTGCCCTCTAAAACTTGCTATTCCACTAATGAATTATAACTATCATTTCTCACTAGACATTGCATTCTTCATGGGAATTACACCGGTGTCAGATTGAGAGGATTCGTCCTCCATCTCATATTTATAGTCACAGAGGAATGTACACAGTAGTGCTCATTTGAATGGATACGTCTCTAGTTAACAAGAACAATTATTCCCACTTTGAGAGAAAGACAAGATTTTCCAGGGGATTTGCTTGAGGTTCCCCCCCTCCCCCCAACTGCTGAGGCACATCAGGAAGTTTTTTAACCTTATAATTTTGTTAAAGGATACACAGTTACTTTGCTATCAGACTGTTAAGCAGAATGTGCGACAGGGAAAAGTCATGCTTGCTGGAAGAGTCGAGACAAGCAGAAATCAAAGTTTTGCTAACCCAGGCTAAAGCTTCGGTTCATCAAAAGACTGCCAGGGTGAAGCTAATCAAGCATATGTATCTATTAGGTTTCAGAATGATAGCATAGTATTGGAGCAAGCAGAATTTCAGGCACCGATTCAAAGTATTTTATGCTTAGTATAATTAAAAGCTCAACAGCTCTAAACTGAAGACCTTCGAAAGACAACCTATGTTGCTCTACCCAATAATTTCCATCAGTTACTTTGTTACTATGGTCAACAACATGAGCCGAAACAAAAAGACCTTCTTGCGACAGAAATTAACTTCGGTACAAGTTCAGTTCCATGAAGCCTTTGTGCCCAACTACACTATATATTTTTCTGATAATGTCCAAAAACCTGGTCCTACATCAATACTTTGTTGGGTACTACAAACCAAGGTGTAAAAACAATTTTTAAAAAGTTTGCCTGATTTCCATTCAGTGGGTAACGCCTTGAACTTGTTACTAACCCTGACCTAAAGCCGCAGCTGCATAAAAGATCAGCAGCTCTTCAGAAAAGCAACAATCCCTTTCCCTAAAATATCAGCACATTTTGTATGCAGGCAAAGACTCGACTTCATTATCTAAAGACATCCCTATGCAGTATGCAGGCAAAGACTCGACTTCATTATCTATAGCCATCCCTATGCCCCGCCACAACATGGACAAGTCTGCAGCTCGGAAGTCTCAGCCGAATCACCACCTACTTGATATACTTCATCAAGCATTTCTACCTCATTTGAGTAAGAACTGATGCTCTCGAGAAGGTGGTTTGCACTACCGTTTAATGGGAAAACTACCATTTCTAGTCATAGAGCACATGGCTGTGCAAAAAAGCAACCATGTGCCAAATTTAATCCTTTGAGCTACAAAGTAATCTTCATTGTTAGCTCAAAGCTACTATATGGGTACAATAGCAGCTGTATTACCAAAGTACCCAAGATCCCTAGCTTGATCTCTCTGTACTAGGAGCTGCCCAGACTCAGACAAAGTGACAGCCCAGGCACAGAAAACAGCAGTCTACCGGCCTGCCTACAGTTAAAAAGAAGTGTGTTCCCATTACCGCCCCAGCAGAGCTGTATTACTGGGCGACTAGCAATATAGCTTGCACTGGCTTTGCCAGTTCCTTGAATGAAATAAGCTACGCCAGAAAAAAAAGTTTTGATTTTGGGGAGAAAAGGGGGGTTGTTTTCTTTCCCTTTTGCTAGTGCACTTGCCTCTCCAGTTGTCTGCCAGGACAGCCATGTCCATTGGGAATGTGATTTTTTTCCCCTCTCGGCTGTGCTGACAAAACTTTTCAGTGTAAACCACGCCTAGGTACGAAATGGGAGACAAGAGGTGTCCGGAGAAACGGGAGAGCACAAGACAATGCGGAGAGACTGCCCATCAGCCAGTCGCACAGCGCAGCACACAGGAAGCTTTGCAAAGGCGATTGGGTTGCTTTAGGTTTCAACAGAGCAACGTTGGGTCATGGCAACCCTTTTTTCACCCTCACAGAGGAGCCCACCGTGAGCAAGAGAGCAGGGGATGCGGTAGGGACGTGGTGCGACTCTGCCTGGCATCAGGTGGGCAGCGCAGGTCCCGAAGGAGGGGGCAGGACGCTTCAAAGTCACGGCAGATTAACTGTTCCCAGGGCTTCGCTTCGCGGCGACAGCAGGGACCCGCGCGAGGCGGTTTCCTGAAGCTCGCCCGGCCTGGCTGTAACTTCAGTGGGACACCGCGAGGTGCGGAGCCACAGCCTCCACCCAGGGGCTCCTAACAACGGGTGGGGAGGAAGAGTAGGGGGGATTTCTGCCCGGCCCCGTGCCCCCTGGCAGCGCTGTGCGCGGAGGCGAGCAGTGCCCGGAGTTCTCTCTCCCCAAGCCGCTGGGACCGTCCGGCCAGGGCACGGCGCTGCCCCCGCGGGACCACGGGGCGAGGGGCGCGGCCCGGCCCGGCCCCCCGAGCCCGCGTGCAGAGCCGGGGGGAGCTCCGGACTCCCGCGGGGAAGGGTCACGATCTGCAGCCGCC